CTGTATCGTATTTAACTTTTTCGGAGCAAAATTGCTTTTTCCTTGCATTCCATCGACCATATTCTTTTGCATTTTCCAATGGAGTTGGGAAGAATTTCTACCATATAGTGAACGCAAAAATAGGAATTGATGGAATTTTTCCCCATGCGCCTCTTTTTTCACTACATATACCCGAACCACAGATATTGTGGAAACACGCCAAATTGTGAAAACTGGAGAAATATGTAAAGTTTATCATCTGATTATTCACAAAGTATCCCAGAGCCGTGATCGAAAAGTCTCCTGATGATGCTCCCTCCCCCTTGTGCTCCAGAATGAGTTACCCTCGAGTTGCTGGGGTTGTTGCAAAATAAACCCGCCACCCAATTATCTTGCAAATGGAATAACTGGGAAGGCATTTATAGCTTAGCAATAAATTACTTCATTTTCTCTTCTCCCGCACTCTCAAGCATTTAATCTCCGACATTGTTGATGGAGCAGCCAATGAGTGGGCTTGGAGGGATTCTCCGTGGAGTGTGCTAAAACCACGTGGAAATCCTCAAAGTACTTTTCCGGGATAATTTGTCAGAATTGAGATTTCTCCACGATTAATGTGGATACATCCAAAGAGACTTGTGTTTTGTTTTGTTTCACCCCCATGAAAATGGAAAAATTTCCCTCCACTCGACTGTATGGAAATGTCTATCAGTCTTTAGGTACAGCGTGAGAACCTGTCAAACATCCGTTTACTTAGAAGTTCAGTGGATAAAATAGAGATGCACAGTTGGAAAAGATAAAAACGATTTACATGCACAATTCTCTAATTGTTCCGCACTGCAAGATTTACGCTAGAAAGGAAATCGCTTGAATAATACGTAAGAACAATAACGTGAGGCAGTATTTCTGATGCGAGACTGTACATTACATGTAGCCAAACAGAGAGGGAGTACAATGGGTGAAAGGCTATGCTTCATTATTGGAGGCGGAGAGGAGAAGCTGTATTGTGTTCCGGGGCAACAATTGAAAAGGCAGGGGTAGTCACTATTGATCCTCCCGTGATATTCCATTGGATTTCGCCTAGTGAGATGGATTATTCATATATATATGTTTACTCGAAAATTCACTGGCCAACATATGAGAATGGAATTATAATCTACGCCATTAAGTATATTTAATTCAATGCATTCACCGAGGCTTAATAAAGCGGAAGCCCATTTATAGATCACCGCTAAAATTATCCGCAGAAAATTGAAATTCCCTTCGGTCATACTGCATGAAAAGACAAGCCGTGTGACATTTTCAATTTTGGCCAAATCCCGATGCAATTTGCTGGGCAATTCTTGGGATGAAAATTGCACACCTCGTGACTTGCATTGGCATGACAATGCAATGAATCACATGGAAATGTGTTGCGTGAATTGATGAGGAGCGCCACCCACGCGTTCCGGATAACCACACTGGATCATGATTTATCAGGCCTGGGGCCACTCTGTGGGCGCCCTGGTGAGTTTAAATCGTATCTGATTTATGCCTTCCTTTCGCCCCGGCGACACTCCGGAACACTCCACCATCGGCCCCAGCGCAGATCGATACTACGTGTGGCGTCCAAGTCTGGGCACAGCCGCATCTAATTTACGTAATCGCAGAAATTTATCTTTCTCACTGGAAGTCAGCGATTAGCGGCGGTACCGAAGATGGTCGCAGTCTTTCACATCGCCATTACGCCCCGTTGCCGTCAGCAGCAGATGAAGTCCTCACCATGAAAACACATACTCATTAATACTCATCAATCTCGCCGGTGTGGATTAATTTCCGCGCTGCAACCATGGGCAGCTCCGCCAATTTCCACCATCGCGCTGCATTTTGCTGCGCCAGTCACCGCTGCAAACTAATTCACAGAGTGTGAAGCCCAGATTAAAGAGGTTATTAAGTAGTGATTGCCCACCCAATTACTGCTTGTGACGCTTTCACGGTAACGAGAAGTGACGCGAAAAATTCGCAACCAGCCACCGACAAAAGTTGCCTGGTCAGCCAAGTTCCGCAATCAATTAACTGTGCACTACAATATTCAGTGAAATGCACCATTCCCAATTGACGTCTGTCAAGACTAAGTGATGCTATGAAGCGACTATTTGCCAGCGTATTAATGGCAGTAAACAGAAGTAATTGGATGAAATACAACTCGTCATGTGAACTCTTAACATTGCACGCACAGAGATGAATATTTTCGGGATATTTTATGCATACTCTCAATTATTAAATCTACGCCTTTAAAATCCCTCCAGTGTAGCAGCTTATCCGAATGCCTCGCAAGCTTCCGCTCTGTAACTTGTTTAGCACCTCTTATTCATTTATATACTCTCTTCCCTCTGTTCTCAATTGTATCTACAACAATTGTCAGTGCGGGGAAACGTAAAAGTGAAGCTTTCTCATTGGGGACAAATACAGAATATAACTCTACACCCTCTTCGTTTGATGTGAATTCCTTCGCGAGGGAGTTAATTTCCCGTTGTTGGCATTCCATTGCAATCAGAAATATCAATGGTCGTCACACTCTTCCTGTTAATTCAGCCGAGTTCCTCAGGCAGCATGAAAGGTGTGTCTCACACCCACACCAGATCCTGATAGTGAGATCTTCTTGACAATAAAACACAGTGTTACCTTTTGATGGCGGGCGGGTGGGCGGAGAAGGATGAAGAATTTAATTTAATTTCGTGCCGTTTGAAACCAGTGGAAAAGTTTGCTTCTCATGGAAAAGACAGCCTCATGCCGCGCGAAAGGAATAAAACTTTGTCTTCGTGCGAATAGGAGTGACGATGTCACCTCTTTTAATTGAATATCATCCCAAGAAGTGTGGAATTATTCATTTATGAAGCAATTCGCATAGTTTGGAGTTGTGTAAAATTTACATGATTTGCATTACACCTCGATTATCTCATTTCTTGTATTCCGATATGGCGCTCTTAAGACTAAGCACTTTGGCGCTCCTGTGATGTATTAAATTCTGTACTTCCACCCTCTCTGACAATATCTCCGTAGTCTAGAGAATTTATAAACTAACATAGAGATAGGTGAATGAGGATCGTAATGAAAGTTGCTCTTGTGAAACTAAAGCAAGAGGGATTTGAGAATTCATCAAATGAGTAGCGGAAGTGGGAAATTAAAGTGAAATTTGAACCTTAAATGCACTTTCTTGTTAATTTATCCACCTCTTTGTGTCACTGTTCATATTTATTCCCTGCTAAGGGTATGCCTTCACATAGCAGCGGAGACAGGACTTTAATGGGATGGAAATAGTGTCTGTTTGGGCATTATTGATTGCAGGATATAAGATGAAATATTGAGTTGAAAAATTTTCTCATCATTTCTTGATTGTTGTCTGGAGAAACTTTTCCATCGACACTTCATATTCCACTTGGCACAAAAATTCACAAGAGTGCCATTTGGGAAGTTTTTCCCAAACACACTGTGAATGGACGAAAAAGAGTCCCTCACCATTTTCCTTACAATTTATCAAGATATAAAATATATATAACAATGGGTGAAAATGTCAACGACTGTGATAAAAGTTTTACATGAATAGAAGGTCCGCAGGTTTGAAAAGCTTTTCTCCCTCTCGCTTTTTTCTCACCACACACACGCACACACATTCACATTACCTATGTTTACACGTAATACATTATCCATGGCTGTCATTGAAAACTTTCACTACAAATACAACATAGTGAGAATTCTCAATCCTTTGTGACTCTCCGCAAGTCTCGGGGTGGGTTTTATAGTGGACCCTCGGGGGGAATTATTTAAATTTCCTACCGTAACCCCTGCGATGTTGTTCTCTGCATCTGCCATTCTGTCCCTGTCGCCCCAAAACCAGATGATCTTACATCAAAACGGTACAAAAGACACTTCTTTCCACCACCACCACCACTCGCACACCCTCGTTATCCTGGATTACGGCCCAAAAGCCATTCAGGAGATTAATTAGCGGTCCCATTCAAAGGCTGCAACTGACATTTATTCGTTTGGCAGTGCAGCGAGCGGAGACGCGTGACTTTATTCACCATCCCACAGTTTATTGATCCCATTTATCAGTGGTCGCCCGTATATCAGCGAGTAGTCAAACAGTGCGATGAGTGCGTCTGATTCCATTTGGTGGTGACCGAAAGACAGCACGTGCCGATCAAATCACTCGCGACCGACACGCTTCCAGGCTGCCAAGAATTTATTGGGCGTCACCCCCAAAGTGATTCCCAATCAGCAAGGGTGGTTTGGCACTAAAACTCGCAGGCTCTCAGAATGGGAAATTCAACTCAAATGTCGGAAAAATAAATCACCACGGCTCAGAAGGCAGATTAATTATGTTGGGAGTAATAAAACTATCCTGCACTGTAGTGAAAGAGAACATTGTACGCCGAGAGGCCAGAAAAGTGTGGGATAAATAAAAGTGAACTCAAGTGCACATACATTCATATTGAGTGTTTGAATACAAAAGTCAATATGATCTAACAAAATTCCACATGATCGATTGTGATAAACAACCCCCACTCTTTCTCTCTCTCTCTTTGTGGTTGCATGGAAAAGGAGTGTAGCGCAAAGGAGTTTGGGAAACACACTATTTACCATTCCCATCGACTTCCTTGTGAACCTCTTCCGCTGACCCAAAACATAAGTTTTCGGACACGAGTTGGAAGTTTACTTCCAGAATAATAATTAATTGACGTGGACTCGAGCAGCGCCTCACCCGATAAATCTCCATCTGGGACTTTTTGGGTGGTGATTCAGGGCAAAAAAAACTTTCAATGTCTTTTCTTGAGGGCAGTCGTTTTATATGTGTTTCTGGGCTGCCCTTGTTGCGAAAAAAAAGAGGCAGCGAACAATGCAGAGTGTTCATTTTTCAGAAGCTCAGACGGAAATTAAGTGTTCAAGTTGTTGAAAAGAATGGAGGTGCTCGTGAAGTTGTTGGGGCGAATTTGTCAGCGTGTGAGACAACATTTTGTGTTGGACATGCGAATTTCACTCACCAAATTCCACGAAGAAACGCCACGTGGTCGGCAAGATATCATACTGCGGCTCAGGAATGCTCACCTGAAAGTGGGAAAAGAGATATTAATAGTGTTTCGGTATGGATTTTCCGCCAAGAATATGATTTGTGAAATTGAAATTGACACTCAACATCAATTAATTGACACTCTCTTGACGGCTCTTCAATACACTCGACATGCAACTCTTCAGGACACACACAAACTTCCGTGCCACCGGAAATATAGGCCCCTTGCGTGATTGGGGAGGCCAAATGGTGATAAATCTGAATTGGGTCATGCCACAGAGATCAATACTCGACAATGGGTGCATCCCAAGGATGGGGGTGGGATCTTGCTGGGAATCATAGCCGAGGGATTTATTTCCACCGCACTGAACCCTTGATTCTCATTCAGATCGACATTTCACACCATCGACAAACAAGATACCCTCAAACTGTCCAAGATAACCCCCTCACAGAATTGACACTAAGTCATCTTGACTCATTGGACTTCAGCTCACGTCGCCGCTCCGGGGAACTTGGGTGGCTGAACTTGCCACGCACCCCCAGACAATTTTCTATGTCAACGACGCCGAGGCTCGGGCGACGCGTGTAAAGTGATGGCAAATTGGCTACACTCGCCCCATTGGTAAATATTTGGTAGAAATTTTCTAAATACTCTCGGTCATGTCACAATTTGCATATTTGCACAGTCAGCACTGTCTCGGGTCATGGAAAAGCGACCCGGCACGGTGGCTGGTAATCAAATTCAACTTTTTATTTTTCATGCACATAAAATCAAATTGCCTCCCGCAGTGTATCAATTGCAGAATGTTAATAAAATAAAATTGCGTTCTTTGATCATAGAGAGCAATAAAAAGGTGATTGAAAATAAACCATAATATGACGTTGATTACACCTCTCACACTGCAATCCTGTGATATTATGAAACGAAAATTTAATACAACATATTGCATACAATTAATTACAACTTATATCACTCTTCTTCATAAATTTAACCCAATTTCTGTCACAAACTTTGCGTCAGAACTTTTATTAAATTTCCTAAGTCATTCATTTCGCCTTTCTTCTGCCGACCCAAAACACCGATCACAGTTGCGCCAAAAGCTACTAAATTGGGGGATGTAAGGGCGAGAGGTCGAGAAATTAATCACACAAATAGACCGAGTTCAAAGGCGCTATAAAAGTCACGTTGTATTTAACATTTTGCCACGTGACCTCGATTGGAATTCAGCAAAAAAAAAGTCTCCAATTTCAAAACAACGAGAGCCATTTTCCAAGAATTTGGACTACATTTTCTGATGAAGTTGTTTGAAGTCACTGCGGTGGATGCTTTTAACATTATAAACCTCAATTTTCTCTAATGTTGTGGAGAGATAAATGGAAAGTTCAACCCTTCTATTCTAAAGCTCGCCTCTCAAATCTGGATTTGAGAGATTGAGTGAAACAGTCTCTGAATACATTGTTGTATGACTTTCTCCTTCAGCCTCTCTTCTCAATGGAGAGATTTCAGATACTTTCAATTCAGGTCAAATGCAGAGAAATTTCACATTGCCTAGTCAAGAGAAATAATTTATATGCAAAGGGATATGAAGATTAAAATATCAGCCAAAAATGTTATGACTATCTCTTAACTGCAGTATTATCAACAACAGTCAGTCAATTACTCAATCAGATAATACACTCGGTTGTGATATCACGAGCATATTGTCACACCTTGGACAAGATTTCGCTTTTATGCAAATTAATATGGAGTGTAAGTTCTCCATTGACATTAAAACACAATATCAATTATGCAGGAGATTATAAGATTACAAAATTGCTTAATGTAATTGAATCTGGTGATGGTACAAGCTAAGAGCAGAAGTTGCTAATGTCTTAGAAATTGTTCAATAAATACCAATTTGCGTATACACAATGTTAAGCAGTGAATTTTGTGTATTAATGAAATTTGAGAAGGCAATTTTGAGATGACTCCGAGTAATCAAGAGCTCTTTATTATTTTAGGAAGTTTGAAATTCATAAGAAAGTTTGGGTCATGACCAGAAGTTTCATGGAATGCCCGGTCCTATTTGTCCTGAGCCGGGAGTGGCAAAATATTGTTTCACATGCATCAAGAATAAAGGAACGGGAGGAATTCAAATTTGTCCATAAACTCTCCAAGTATTTTCTGTCCATATAATTTTAATGATTTTACCTAAAGTTTTTATGTGGTGCAATTTATTTTTGACATGCTGGAAAGCTTCCCGTGGTCGACATAAATGAATACAAATTACAATTCACTCTTTACGATTAATAATAATGTCCCGAAATGGAATTTCCATCTTGCCTGCATTACACATGATAATCGTTAATTTGCACTGAAAAACCCCTCTTGAGAGTGGCGCTTTTCGCCTCTGAGGTCACACCAAAGTGTTTGGTTCACGAAGCAATATTGGGTGCTTTTATTAGATGAAGGAGAAAAAAATGAAAAGGCAAAGCGGGCAAAGCATAAATATTTTATACGTGCCTTTTTTATTTCCATTTGTAATTCAACCTTGTTTATGAGGAGCACTCTCTCATTTCATGTCCAACTTCACCCCCTTCAATTTTTTCTCCCTCTCGCGACTTTTATGTTAAACATTCAACTGATAAAAAGAAGTATTACGTAGCGCAATTACGTCCTTTTTTATGCTGCCACGAGTTTACCACCGACCGTGAAGGCGGAAGAGCCTGACAGGAAGTTCACCATGGGAAATTCTATGCAAATTTCGCAGTGCATTGTCTCTCCACTCTCTAATTCACCCACTTAATACACTGCACTGCGGATTAATTTCTCAGATGTCGAATCCAAATGAAACACTAGACGATATTCTCAAATTTCACGTGCAACTGAACACACTTCATCGCAGATACACTTCATGGCAGGTGTACTAAATCAAGAGGTAAAATAATATCTCTACATATACATACAAACTGCAGGAAAAAAGTAATGAATACAAACTTTTTAGTAAAGAACTTTCTGCGTTTTTGCTTTTCACACTGTCAATCATTGAGTACTTTGCTTTAAAAACTCATCTCCCGCACTTAAAAGTGTGGCTCGAGTGGCTTATGAAGAGGACGCAATGTTGCCCTGAAAGGATGCTTTAGTTATGCGTAAAAATAATCCGTACCACCAGTGTAAAAGCCTCACACGGGTGGACATGCCACCTGAATTGTATCCGTTCGTCCTCTGGGCGAGAGTTTGGGTCACTGTGACAGAGCACATCCTGAGGGTGCAGTAAAATTCGTTACAATTAACGATACGGCAACGGCACAGTTCAATTTGCGAGTGGATGCAGCCCCCGGAATCAATAGTCACAAAGGGATTTGAGAAATATGAAGCATGCAGATGATGTGGTATGGACTCAAAGCTATCAACTGCTTTTATCTAGTTGCCATCATCGCAGCGCGTTCAGTCCTTGCGGCCTCGTTTCACTATTTGCTCTGCTGCACACATTTGTGATTTATTGGTCGTAATGCCATTTTCTACTTCTTTACATTCCCTCACGTATGTATGAGCTGTGAACGCGAAGTGGAGTGATGGAATTGGATTGAGTACACCGCATATTGCAAAAAGGACTCTATGTGTGTGCTTCCTCTGCCATGCCTCATCGCCAGGCGCCTTATTAGATTGCCAACAACTTGTGTGTGAATAAGATGCTATGGCATATTTGCTGAGGTTAGAGTCTTGTGTCACATGCAGAGCAAGAAATAAAATCTCTCACTCCGATTCGCACAATTCAGAACAGGGCAAATTCACAATCTGTATTTCATATTTTTTCCCCGTGCCTCTGAGAATTATTGCATTAATTATTTTCCCCGTCAAAATTCCTCTGTGAGCTTTCAAAGCTCACTGTGTTTTGCAATGCTACTGTTATATCCATCACCCTTTGCTCCGGGGTGTCAGACTTTGGGGTGGCTTTCGTGTGAGTGATACATATGATATGTAGCGATATAATTCACAATGACACACATATTTTGGGAGTGTCATTCTCTAGCTCGTGGCTGAATTTTTTCCCGGACACATTGCTGCATTGTCTGCTATATGATGCTATTCAAGTCCGAGATTATTAACTTTTTGCCCATAATTCTGCAGCCGATCACGAGTGATGACATTGCGGGAAATGTAATTTATCCTGCTGCGAGATTGAAACAACAGCGTAATTGTGAGAGGCTGTAGTAATCAATTAAATCAAAAATTGACAATGATTTCCCGCGCTTAATTAAACGAGGTGATTTATAATTATAGCACCATGAAGCACAACCGCTTAGATTGGCTAAACTTTTCGGCCAATTGGCAAAGATTGAACACCATCAAAGTCGATTACTGAATTGAGAGAATAAAACTGAAAAATTCCCATCCACTTTTTTCACCATCACAGCCCCAATCAACTCCTCAATTGGTTGTCTTCCAGCGTGACTTTGAATGGTGACGGGGCTTCTATCTGGCAAAAAATTAATTAGAAATCGTGGTGGACAGTGGAAGTGGAGGAGTGAGATTAATGGAGATTCTTCACGTACATTAATATTAATCTGGGTGTAGGGCCTGCGCCTCATTTGGGGAGGCGCAAGCGGTATAAAAAGTTAAATGAAGTCTAATTGAAAATATCACATTCACTGTCCGTGTTCTGAAATTTAACGATGAAAATATACACATATATAATACATTTCTTCCCTCCTTCGGCGCTTCCTGGGAAAAAGTCCGTCATTTGATAGCACAGGCACCCGGTAAAATAACAATTTCGGCCACACAATGAGGAATTAATTTCAACTCATCTATAGACATAGAATTATATATTAATTCTATTGTTTGTTCGATTGAATAAATCTCTTTATATCACTCGGCGGGAGGGCGAACACAAAAGCTCTCCAGCTTGGAGAGCTTCACCCTCTCCGAATCACAGCAATAAATACTTTTGCAGATTCGCAGACAAATTTCTCCACAGAAGGAGGTTGTTTTTAAAGATTTGGGAAAAATTAAATTCGATATCTAAAATTTTGGCATATCTCGCACAATTTCTTG